GGGATTTCCAGCAACTGCAGAGCAAGCCACAGAGCTGGGACTGGAGGGGCCAGAAGGAAATAAATTTTTCTATTTTGGACTTTGTATCCTCTATGAGGTTCATGCTTGCCAGCTTTGGGGAGGGGGGGAGGCTTCCAGTGTAGGGGGGTCACAGCAGATCTCTCTGAAGGTGACCCTGTGTAGAGGGGGGGGAGCTCAGGCCTGCAGGGGCAAACCCCCACTGGAAACAAGCCCCGGTGAGGTTCCCAGACCCTTTGCTGCTCACGGACCCCTGGGCTGGGCCAGACGTTTGAAGCTTCCCCCAAGTGGCCCTGGCGGCAGGAGAGCCACGTCGCGGAAGTAGAAGCTGACCCTGCACACAAGGAGCCCAGTGGCTGCTTTTTGCATTTTGCTCATGGGATGGTTGTTTTGCTCAGCCGGTGCCATGTTTTGGGACCAGTTGAGCCATTTTTTGTGACGCCACAACGCTGGGAAGCAGAAGTGGTTTGATTGTGTCTGCCTGTGGTTTGGCCACCTTGGGCCAGGCAAAGGCAATGAATGCTGTGGACGCTGCAGGGCAGCAGGTTTGGGAATGCAGACACAGGCTCTGGACATCGTCCCACCCATGACACCCAATGCCCATAGCTTTGGGGAGGAAGGCGTGTGAACAAAGTCAGGCCTTAGGAAGCCTCTCGCCTTTTCCTGCCGAGGAATCGTGGGCTCTCGTGATGTCCTTGGTGGTGTCAAATGCTCCTCGTTGTTGGCCCCCCCGGACGCACACCGCTTCCCCTGAGAGTGTCCTGCTCTGGAGGCCCCCCTCCGTGCTGAAGGCATCCCTCTCTACTGTCAGCAATGGTGAGACGCAGCGCAGATAAAAATTGAGGTGGCAGCAGTAAATACCTCTTGGAAGGACTCCTGATTTTCGTTCGCTGATGCTTCTGAGATGAACAGAAGTTGCTTGACGCCAGGAGGGGGCCATTCCTCCCCACCCCCAGGAAGCAGGCCTTCAAGAGGGTGGGTTTGCTGAAGCAGGGCTGGGGCAAAGGGCAAGGCAGGGCAGCCTCCAGGCCTTCTGCCCTTCTTGGTGGGTACTTCGTAGGAATATGCTTTGCTGCAATTAATTTGTTCAATTTCGAGTTTTGAATTGCAGTGGAATTCCTCTAATCGTGAAGCAGAGATGCAGGGACCACAGAGCAGATTTATCCCCAAACTCCACATTAGTCCACCCCTTTTTACTCAGTTACCGGCACCCGAATCCTCAACAACTCACTCTGGGACATCTGAAGGAGAAAGAACAAAAGGTTTCATTTACTTACAGCTAAACCAGATCCACAGCAAATTTTAAAAAACCACCACTTTCAGCAAAAGGCCTCAGCAGACCACCTAATTTGAACAGACTAACCATCTCCAACAGACAAAAGATTTTAGGGGGGGGGAGCTCTTAGCAGAGAGGTGTGGCTCTTGTTGAATTTGGAGGCAGGGAAAGAACAATTAGTTAGTGCTGCTAGTGACAGTCACTCCAGCTCAGAAAAAGCCCCTCACATACAGCATGTGAAGTTGCCATAATCCCTGTGTTAATTTGGGAAAGCTCGTCATAATGTGGTGTGTATGGTGGTGGGGAGGCACAGGCAGCCTAAGATGGACTGGGCTCTGGATGGACCAGGGCATCTCACGTGGCAGAGACAAGAAAGGGGGGGTGTTCAGCCTTTGGAAGGGCAGGCAAGTGGAGTGAACTATTTGAAGCAGAGCGCACGGCTTCAGAGAGTGTTGGCTGCTGACCCGAGTAACCTGCATGTCCTCTCTTCTTTGCCTCCAGTGGCAGCAACAAAGCCGAGCCAAGGCAAAAAGCCTTACATTTGCTCAGCGCCCTCGCCGTTCAAAATTGGCCCGTTTATTCACCCTCAAAGCAGTGGGGAGAATCTCATGGCTACTTGACACCTGTCTAAAAGAAACTGCTCACTGGAAGGACAGATCCTAAAGCTGAGGCTCCAATACTTTGGCCATCTCATGAGAAGAGAAGACCCTGGAAAAGACGATGTTGGGAAAGTGTGAAGGCAGGAGGAGAGAAGAGGATGGCAGAGGACGAGATGGCTGGACAGGGTCATTGAAGCAACCAGCATGAAATTGAACCAACTCCAGGAGGCAGCAGTGGAAGACAGGAGGGCCTGGCATGTACTCTGGTCCATGGGGCATCACGAAAAGTCGGACATGACTTAACAACTAAACAACAACAAAAAAGAGCTCGCATGAATCTTGACAGCAAAGTGCCCCATATAGTCCTGGAGCCCCAGTTGTGTCACTTGGGTTCCTGCGCCCAGGAATACGACCTGTACCTCATCAACTAGTGGCAATTCACTTCCAAGACTCCCACAGTTTCCCTTGTGCAGGGATATTGTGCACAAACCAGCAGAAGGATAGTAGCTATCGCTTAAGACAAGCACGGCAGTAAGTCACATCAACCTCAAGAGTCTGAGAAGAAAAGTAGAAGTCCATCTTGCAGAGGGATGAATGAAGGGTTAGGAAGGTTTTTTGAACATTTTAATTTTACCTAGAGACAGGTAAAAATGGTCAAGGAACTGGGGCCTCCTCCCTAAGGGAAGGTGTGTGTGGAGTTTTTACACAAATGTCGGCGACAACTCAACTAGGAAGGACGTAGTCAAGGCCTGTGGAACTGCTCATGCTTGGGAGAAAGCAGAGCACCGGCTGTGGTTCTCTCTCTGTCCGGATTCTTCTGGCACTGCTCCTGCCATCGCTTCCATGAGGATGAGGATGAAGGACACAAAGCCTTCAAGGAGTTGCCTTTTCAGACCAGGCCAGCTGGGGGGTTCTGGCTGAGGAGATGCTTTGTTTTCTTGTTTTGTTAATGTTTTCACTTTAGGTCCAGTTGATGACCACGTGAAACTCTTTTTTCATTTTTTTTCCTTCAGTCAAGGGGTGAGTGGAGAGTGCATGTGAGTGTGCGTGCGTGCGCGCTTTGGCTGCAGGGTTGGTGCACAATGGAGCCGTCATGGGACTTGGCTCCACAAGATCAACCTCAGGCCCTCCTCTGTCCCTTTCCAGGGCAAGCCGTTTCTTATATCATGGGTTGCAACTCGAGAGAGTCCTCTGGCTCTGATGGAGGTCAGGGCGAGGGCAAGCTGAGTGGGTGGGGGGGAGTGGGGGGAACTTACTTTCTTGCTGGGAACACCCAGAGGCAGCCGGAGCGTTGCTGTTCCAGAAAGGCCCCAATGGCAGGCTCTGGTCCATTCGCAAGAAGACATGCAGCGCCTCCCGTTTATCTCTGCAATGTCCTTCACTGGACTTGTTTATCACCGTCATCAAGATCTTCCTGGTTACAGCATTTCACAGAGTGTTCCTTGGGAGGGTGTTGTTCTCACCAAAGGGCGGCTAGAGCATCTGCTTCGCACCCAGAAGGCTCCATGCCCAGAGCATCAGCACACCCCACCAGGGCCTTGCCTTGGGGAGGTCACTCATGCGTAATATAACAGCCATTATAATAACTGTGTGCCCCCAAGTTGATTCTGACTTAGGGCAACGCAGCTAAATCTGAGGTGGCTTCCGTTCCCTTCTGGCTCCACGCTTCCCTCCCAGGCCCTGCACAGCCTGGCCTTTACTCCTGTGGAGCACAGAGGAGCATCCAACGCCCAGCACTGAAGCACCATCAAAGTCATTAGTATTATCGTATTAAAATAAATCATCGTGAAACCCCATGCCAAGTCATCTCAGTCAAAACTAATCATTACAGCAAAAGCAGGCCTGGCAGCTCGGCTATGCCCTTGCCATGGGGGGGGGCTCCCCTCCCCCTCCCAGCTTTGGGGAGATCCTTCCGGAGCTTCTCGCTGTCCATGTGGCCTTGGCCCCTCTCTGGTGGCACAAGTTCGGCACCATCTGGAAACCAGTAAGAGGATGTCTCTGACTCACCTGGGGGAGGCGTCAGCGGATTGGGGGGAGGGAGTGCCCCAGAGGCGAAGTGCCAAGGGAGGACCACAAGGTGTGAGTGACCCCCCCCAGCCCCTCCCACATACACACACACCGGTTGCCTTTCACGGGCAGGAGCCTCTCTGCCTGGAGGAAGGGCACCCCATTCCCAGGTGTTTTAGGTGCTGGTGTGTCTCCTGAGCCGCAC